TTTTTAAGATGTTATTAAATTATCTTCACATTAATAAACTTAAGTAGTACTTAAACATTTTAAGCTAAGACATATTCAGATTAGAAAGAAAAATCAAATTATGTTTAAATGTAATATATATCCATGGAGAATATTACATAAAAATATTTAATATACATTATAGTCAGAAGACTCCATCCAAAGTCAGAAAAGTAATATAAATAATGACAAATCTATTTTGAGGTTTACTTTTAGGGATAGAATCTGTCCCCTGAGATCTATTTTTTAATTTATTAAAAAAGAATCTCAAATCCAGGAAATGTAGCCATGATATTTGTTGAGGTTATAAATTGGTGGGGGGTGGGAGGAGGAAAACAGACTTTCATCTTCTTGAGTCATTTAATTTTTTCTGCCTTTCAAGCAGCAAGCAGGCAACTGATATATTCCTAATCAGCCACGATATATTAATTGGTAGAATTACCTTACTGAAAGCATGCAATCTATAGACAAGCCCAATATATACTTTTAAAACTTTATTTTAAAGGAAACTCAGGAAAACTGAAGCCTAGTCACTTTCTGGCTCTGAGAAAAAATAAATTTTTCGAGTAAAAATGATTTAATTGTTTTAAACAAATAATGCTATCTTACAATTTGTAATGAAAAAGACCCAGGAAACAGATAGGTATGTTAATCTTTACTCCCTATTTACATCCTAGAAAGTTTGGAGTTACAGGGCCTATACTGTGGATACAATACCCTAAAATTTTTTTTTTTACAAAAGTGAATTTGTTTTGTTTTACTAAAGGAATGCAACTCTAGCCTTAGCAGTAACAACTTATTCAGCTAAAAAGTGTTCAGTTTTCTGGATGAATATGTAGAAGGCAGTATGGGATATAGTTTGTGTCCATATACTTTCTCTGGGGAAACGAAACTAATTTGGATGACAGAATATTTAAGGAAAGAATATTTAAGTACTAAAATTAATGACAGGTAAATAATTATGGTACTTTGGGACTCTCATATATTTAATAAGGGGGTATCTCCTTGGAGGTTGGGGAAGTTTTTAGAGATGTATCAGCTGTCGATTGCATAGCCACGTCATGAACTTCCTTTCCCTAGACTTTCCAAAATACTTAGAAAGGTTTGTGTTCAAAGGCAAAAACAAAAACTAAGTGAAAAATTCCCTTCAACTTTGAAACAAGGTATTAACAGTTAAAAAAAAAACTTGTTTTAAATTATTTTGCAGTCATTTTCTCAGTTGAACTTCCTGTTGAAAGACTGTAACTGCCTAATGTGTCCAGCCAGGAAACAGAATGTGACAGTAGCCCCGTTTGTGTTATGGAGGTTGCCTGACAATGCTGCCATCCTTTAACATGGTTTTATTTAGTTATTACAACTATCTCTCTATAAATGACATTTAGGATTATTTAAGATTATGTTGTAATCCTTTTAATCCTTAGTGCTTTAAATTTCAGGCTAAACACCAAAGAGAAAACTAGCACTTAGCAGGAATATTTAAAACATGTGGTTTGAACATAAATCTTTTTATTCAGTCTATCCCTGATGAAGACCTAGTGTTGCTCTTACTTAGAAAACTCGTACCCAGCTCATTATAGCTGAGTTGCTAAATGTTTCTCAAACTACATCAAACTTGTGATAGTCCTTGACAATGACCATAAATGCAGAGTTAAACAAAAGTTAGCAGCAATGGACATTTACTACTGTGACTTAGAATTTCTTTGATCTTTTATAAATGTGTAGTGTGTGTGTGTGTGTGTGTGTGTGTGTAAGTGTTCACTCTATTTCTTAAGGTCAAACTATTAGGTGTATGTATACATGGGCACACTATATATATATGTATATTTGCATATATATTTGATGTATATAAGTCTATATTTTATACATAAATACATGTACATATTTTATATAAATTATAACATCAAATATATATTTTATTATCAAAGTTAATTCTTTCATTATTTATTGTTCTGAGGTACCAATTAGGCCAAAAGTGTGCCATTATAAAATATTCAGATATTCTTAAACTTAGCAAGTGAGAATCATTCTGATTTACTGAAAGTTGTTGAATACCAAAACTTAATAATTAATGCTGTCATTGTTATGTTTCCACATACCAATCAAATAACACTGAATCCACGTCAATAGTTTGATATGATTTCAATTAGGAAGGAAATTTGGCTTTTAATAGAAAGAAAAACAACTCAAACATCCAAACAGCATATAGAACAAATGAAATAAATGAAATCTGTCCATTTTTGGTTGTCAAAAATGTGTGCTTCTGAGACTTGCAAGCACACACAATTTTGTTTGTTTTCCTATTCATTTTAAGTTCAACTTCTCCACAGACATTGTAATTATGTGGCACATAATTGCTAATCCATCAAACTTTTAAAGGACAGATTTCAAATTTTAAAATTATTTCTAATTTTGCTCTTTGATTTTTCTTGAACCAAAAATCTCAATAGTCATTTGCTATCTGTAATCTATAATTCATAGACTGAGATTGAACACCAAGCCTAATTCAAACTTGGAATTCTAAAGCTATTTCCGATGTAGCACATCAGCTGAAGCTATGATGGTCTTTTTCAGTCAGGAAGAAACACTTCATTATTCTGTAGGCAATGAAACCGTTGCAAGCACGTGTGCGCGTGCACACACACACACACACACACACTCACTCCAAGTCCAACAATGCCTTAATACCATGTTTTTGAGACATAATCATGTTTATTCTGATCATTTGAGAGTTAGACCAGCTAATGTATCTAATCAAATATTGATGCAAGTCATCTAGATTTAGCTCTCTGGCAAATCCTTCCCGATGCTTTTTCGTTAACAGAACTATAAAAGCTATTTATATTGTTCCTCTCGAAAGGCTTACTCTCATAGTCTCTATCTATGGATACGTATTAGTAAATTTTACCAAAACTCATGCATTTAGGTGATGAAAAGATTTCAGCACCACAAGGAAACCAGGGAATTCACTCAAAACGAATGAAACAGAACAAGAAACTTGAATCTTTTCTTTCACTTTGTTATTCACAGTACCCTTATAATCACCTCTTGTTTCTCTGAAAGTACAAGATTTAAAAAAAAGTGTCTGTAAGAACACTGAGACCCCGTGAACTGTTCGATTACATTATCAACAAAACTAAATGGCAAGATTTTTACCTCCAGAAAGTGACAAAAAGCAAGTATAGTTTTTAATATCTTTGGAAGGACCTGCATTCAGAAATATAAAAGTCAACTAGAAAATTGCAATAGGAGGTGGTTAGTCACATCCTGAAAAGATCAGAATGATACACACTATCAATATAGGTGGCTGAAATGTAGATCTATGCATGTTCACAGTTATGGAAAAATATACATAATTTTTTCATCAATATTTTTAGCCCTGTATACATCATATATAGTTGAATGTCATCCTCATTTGTGAACTCATTTAACTCTTTGTAAGGTTATCAGAAGAAACTGAAAAAAGCTGGCTTAGCCTATCTCCAAAGGGTTGATATAGACCAAGAATGATGTCTATGACAAATTTCAATGTTTTTTACAGCTTTGGTGATTAGGATACTAAATTTGCAGTACATAATGAGGCTTTACCACTGAGCTTATGTGGTCTAGTACAGAGCTTTCTTATGTGGTCATTGAGGTTGTCAAAAAGCTAGGATTCTAACCTCTAAATTTCGTTGTTTATGGCAGAATACTAAGAGTAAGAAATTGGGGAAAAGGGGAAGTCACTGATCTATAGTTCTTCCCTTCAAAATAAAGTTTATTTCTTCTTCTTGATTCTATAAAGCCATATTTTAGTCACTTTCAGCTTTAGAGTATTGCTTTCAGGACAAGCATGTTTAGTTTTCTTCTGTCTTTTCTCTCTCCCTTTTATTTCCTTCTTTTCTATATTTTTAATTGACAAATAATAATTGTATATATTCTCTCACTATCTTTTTTGATAAAAAAAGTCTCTATACCTAAATAGAATAAAACTAGAAAAGTAATTTATTCCAGAATGTGTTAAAATATTTGTTTTATTTTGGTAATCCAAATGGACCCAAATTATTTGGATATACCTCAATCGCATCTGGAAAATACAAACCAAACTAGAAACCAGCTTCCTCCCCTCAGTGAAAGTGTAGGTAGAAAACGTCACTTACCTATGCTTCTATAGGACCCACTATTAATTTCACCAAAGCATTTAAGAACAAAAGAATGGACTTTTATTCAAGGGCCAACATGCTCTTAAAAGACATTTAAAAAATAATTATAATAAATTATAAAAATAATAAATAATTTTCTAAATTATATAAAATTATTGGTTATTTCAGAAATATAAAATTTCATGTAAAATAGAACAAAAATAAAACTCCATAATTTAAAATCATTAATTGCCACTGATTTTGGAAATATCATGTGTGAAATTATATTTTACAATTTTATCTCTTTTAAGGATTTCATCTGGTTGTTTCCATTCAATGGAATATGATTATAAGAATCAAGCTTTTTTCAAAAAACGAAGTTATGCAATATGAAAGAATCTATTTTTATAGTTGTTCAGCCCTCTTCATTCCCTTAAGTTACACTCGTAAATGTAATTAATGGCTGGAAGGCAAGAGTGTCATGAATGTAAATCGCTTATACTTGGTGTATCTTAGTTTGTGTGCATCTGAATATTCTAGATCAAATCTATTTAAGTCAAGCTTTTTACATTTGAACCCCAGTCATCTATCACATACACTGCAAACTTCAATAACCTTTGCGTGTTTACATTAATCAACATGCAACATATATTTTGTGTTTAGATAGCAACCAGTCGCCAGGAAAAAAAGCAACAAAACAAACCGAAGATTCAACTGGGAAGAGGAGTCGCCTTTCATAATGACCTTCAGACAACTAGTTCATGTACATGAGCATATCACAAGAAGGTGGTCTTATTTTAGTTATCCAAGAGAGCTCAGATTTAGAGAGAATAGGAATAAATTGAATATATGTAACATTCTTACCTGAAAGACATTCTTTCTACTCGATTTTTCCTTGGCCCATTCAATGTGTGCACCACACAAATCCACACTTTCTGGTTTGTGCCCAGTTTTCTGTAAACCCAAAAAGAAAGAATAAAAGGATGCAACATTGGAAATGGATGTCAGAGAAATAGGAGTTTATTGAGTTAGTAGCTACACATATTTATAATCTAATGCCTTTTTTGTGTTCTCCAAGGGAAAATTTATAGGAATTTTCATTTAGGATCTAATATTTTTAAATGTCTAAAATTAGAGAACTGTTTTTAAAATTATTAGCTGTAGACAATAGGAAAAATATCTAGAATACTAATATTTTGAGATGATATTCTTTAGTAATTCTAATAAAATTTTAAAATATGCTATTCAGTAATATGAAATCTTGCTATTCAATGGTAAAAGTAACATGTTAAGTTATATTACTTTTAGAACAGTAAAAGAAATAATGATAAATTGTAGTACAATGCAAAAAATGGTTAGAGTTTTAGCTTTGTGACTTTAGTAAAGTTGCTTAGAATCTGGCTACATCATCTAGAAAACTGAGCAGGTGGATTAATCAATATCAAAGTCCCCTTGCAGGTTTGTGTTTCATATGCTAGCAAATTCGATACAGATTTGTTAAGTGTCAACTATGCCTTTTAGAAATTTACTTTTCAGACTTTAAGATTATACCCATAAGTATAATTTTTTTAGTAAATTTAACTTAGACCAAATAGATTACAATGCATGCTTCCTATTACACAATTACAATGTATTACTTAAAAGTTTTTTTATTTCAATAATTCACAATAATCAATAGGAATATCACCCATATTTGTCTTTTCATATTTTCACTTGATTCAAGTTAATCATACATTACATTTGCATCTCTCCAATTATTTTTTAAAAAGTTTGCCAGTTTGGAGAATTTCTTTACTACTTTTTCAAGAAGTTTCTCCATAGATAAATTCTCTCTGTTTCTCTGTAGATACATTCCATACTTTTCTCAAGTCATTATCCATAAAATACTTTAAAATTTTAGTATATGAAGCTTATAATATTTTAGACGATGTTTTTAACATTATGAACATTAGGATAAAACAGGAAATCATGAAACAATGGTAACTATATTTTTAAAACTTAATCTGCCCACGTTTGTTGTCTCTTAGCCATTATATCTAATTCTATTAGTTTAACATAGACTATTTTTCAGAAGGCAGAAATTTGTTTTACTATGGTAAATAATGCGATTTTTTTTTGGAAATTCAATAATTTGTTTGAAACATTGTATAACTTTCCTACAGGATAAACTCAGCTGGCAGGATAGAATTTGGTAACATATCTACCTTTTCTGTTGTTATTTAGGTGTAACCTCATGAGAAACCCATTAAGATGAGCCATGCCCCTGAAAGAGACTTTGATCAGTGAAGAGTTTTTGTTGGTTCACCCACACTCTGCCGCTCAGGTGATCACTATTATGAAAGATTTCAAAGCGTGATAGTGATATTCTTTATTAAGTGATTTGTGATGTAGAAAAATTAACAACATGCTTCTTCTTATAGATTTAATTAAATTAAGGGATACTCAGAGCCAAGAAAAATAATCATTAAGAGTATGTAACAAAATGGCTTCTTTTTCCCATATAATCCGGTAGGGGGTGGGTGGGGAATGTATAATTATCTTATTTAAGAAGCACTATTTATGTTCCAGGAACTTACCTAAGTACTTTTAAATTATTATTAATAATTCATTTAGTGTATGAGTTCTGTATTATAAGGAGTTTGTGGGCGATTATACAGAATGCTAATATGAGAAAGATTCAGTATCTTCCTTGCCTCTGGAGTTCTAGAGCCCAGCACAGTGGCTAACACACCGACACAAAGTAGTGTGCAATCAATGGTAACCAAATAATTTTGTGAAATCTCACATTTACAACTGTATGAGGTAGGTATCACTAAGTTACAGGTAAAAAAGAAAACCTGCCAGAATGGTTAGGTAAATTTCCTCAAGGTTACCCAGCTAGAAAAGGAGGGGCCAGGATTTAAATGCAAGCAGCGTCACTCCAGAGACAGTTCTTAACCATTATGCAGCCCTTGAAAACTACATATGCACTGTGATTATATGCTAAAACATGTAAGAGTTTGGGAAAAGCTATGGCTTTCTCACTAGACTCCAGAATAGACATATTCATCTTGTTTTTGTCCTTCTCTGTTAAACCTGATCTTGCCTTAGGTCCTTCACACCACCTGTTTACCTGGAATACCTCCCAATCTTCACACGTCTGGCTCCTTCTTATCCTTCAGTTCCCAGTTATAAATGTCACCTTGTCAGAGGTCTTCTTTGACTGTCTTATATAAAAGAACTGTACTCCAGTACTCCTGGTTACTCTCCATCCCACTACTTGTTTTAATTTCACTGCAGCCCTCCTCCTAACTGAAATTAACATATATATTTTTATATGCTGACTGTCTGTGTTTCCCCCACTAGAATTAAGCTCCCTGAGCTAGGGCCTTGTTTGCCTTTTCCTCTACTGTTTTTCCCAATGTATGGAACAGTGCCTGGCACATAGTTGTTGTTCAATGAATATTTGCTGAATTCATGAATGAAGGAAAAATACCAAAATGCAACTAGCTTTTGTGTTTTGGAAGGTAGACTTTAGTGTCTTAAAATTCCCAATTTACAGCAATTAAGATTTGTATTTTCTTTTTAATGGTTAAGCTGTTTTTGGTTTGTAATTTGGAAAAATGACAGTTTAATGGACTCATATTCGGATTAATGTGAGATTTCACAGAATCATTCAGTTAACATTTATTGCACACCCACTATGTGTCAATGTGTTACACACTGTACTCAGCTCTGAAACCCCAGGTTTAAGGGAGATACTGACTCTTCCTTGAAGAATCTCATATTAGCCTTAGATTTCTGTGTAATCACCTACAAACTCTATATGCTATACAGCTAAAGGAAACCTGTGGGAAAAAGCAATCTAAGCTTTTACAGTTTTCTCATCATCTAGCTTTGTCAATTTCAAAACGTTCTCATCAGCATTTGTAGTGCTGAATCCTTTTAAACTTCAAATAGGGTTGAGGTTCAAGTGAACAAAGAAGAGACCCAGAGCTAACAAAAAAGATATGGAGTTTTACTAGGGGTTTACATACCCGGGAAAGGTATGGACAGGAGAACCACTTCATGTACAAAAATGTCCAGGAGCAGTGGGCTAGGCAACATAACTACATGGCCCAGTGGTGGACTGAGCAGGAAAACCACAACCTTTTGCTAACAGCATGCAGTTTATGTAGCATTTTCACTTAATGACCCTCCTCCTTAAGGACTCCCACCTGGCAACCTTCATCCAACCCAAAACTCATTCTCCTGTGTGGTCTGTGTTCCACAAGACTGTGAGGGCTCAGATGTTCTTCACCGACTCCAGGTTAGCTGCTCCTCGATTCCCTAACTTGAAACACACTCAGGTGTGCCTGCCACACAGGTTAATTCCAAGGGGATTATTAAACTATTGCTATCAGGTGTATTTACCCTAGAGCATCCTAAGGCAAACCCCACAGCACCTGGCTCAGGTTTATCACGCTCCAAACCCTGTTTGTGGCTATCTTCTCCGTGACCTGGCCCTGTCTCTTGGCCTCCTCATAATCTCACTCCTTCACCTCATTTACACTTCAGTGATTTTCATTCTGCTGCTCATCTAACAGATTCCACTTTTGCAGTTTTTCTTACCCCCACCCTGTTATGTATGTTTCTGATGCTATTAAAATCATCGACCTTTGTGCAATCTCCCAGTCTCTGAATTCCTTCCTGGTTTCATTTCCTTTCAAGTCCAGGCCTACATTTCTGATTCCACAGTCACTTCAACCACCCACTCCACTTGCCCTCGTCCAAGGATATCACTCTCATCTGTTTGCCCCTCCAAATCTTCCCATATCCCCGAATACTGAAGAAATAACTTTTGACTACTTAGGGTAGCAATACTACAAATAATAGCTGCCTTCTTCAGCTGGGCCTTTGACTCTGCTTAGCAAACTTTTTGTGTTCCCAGTCACTTTCTCTTCCTTCTCCTGACACTGCTCTCTTGTACGCTTCAACCCTTATAAGTCCACCCCACGACATGGTTGGTTCCTACTTCATGGAGATCACAACCCTTGTGCTAGAATAATCACAACGCTTCCCACTTTCATAGTCTGTGTAATCCAAATAAGCGAATATAAAGTTTAATGATAGCTACCTCTATTGCACTGTGAAAGCTCATATTGATTTCTCACTTACTTCCTACAACAATTTTGTGAAAATATTACCATTGCTTTCAACGTACACATGAAGAAACCCAAACGAGAGCAGCCAAGTGCCTGACATGAGGTCATGTACTTAGAAAGTGCCTGAGCTGAGCTATGAATTTACCTTTATTGGATTCCAATTTCTAAGTTATTGATCACAATGGAATCCAGGGCCTGCCTTCCACACTCATCTTTTCCTCCTACTAGTTCACATGAAAATTAATGCCTTTTTCAGGTTTAAGAATAAGAATTCACATTTTCTAATTTTTTTCCTTGTGTCATCATTTTCCACTTTGTCTCCCAGCCCCAGAATTCTGGGGCTGTGACTGGCCCATCTGTCTAATAAACTCCCATGCCTTGGCAGGACCATGGCCTCTGTCAGTGTCAAAATTACCTGGCCTGTCAGTGCCATAAAGCACAGAAAGGACTTGCAAGGCAGGTCCTGCTTTGCCTCAGAGGAAGAGATATTCCTTCTGCCCAAGGCTTGTTTCTCTCCAGTTCCTAATTTCATTTAGTCTTGTCCCTGATTTCCTGAATTGTCCAGGAATAAGAATTTCACATTTCCTTCTACTTTCTGCCTCTTAAATAGATTACATCCTTCAGCCTCTAACCATGTTCATCACTCCTGTTAAAAGAAAAAAAAAGGAAGAAAAGCAATAATCAACTCCACATCCTCACTTTTACCAATCTCACTTATTTCCTTTCCATTATTGCCAGATTTGTCCTTCTCTTTGATTCATTTCTCTGTTTGCTCAGACTCCATTCTCCTCTTCAACAATGCAGTCTAATGTTTGCTTCCTTCCTTGACTT